CTGCGAAGTAGGCCAGCAGCGCCGCCAGCGTCGCGCACAGGAGGATGAGTCCGATGGCGGCGCATCGCCAGGAGCACCTCTCCCGCCACGTCTTGCCCAGGTGGAGCCCCCGGCCGGAGAAGGAGCCGGCGGAGCCCAGGGGCAGGTCGTTCCTGACGGCGGGGAGAGTCGGCAGAGTTCCCGGCGCCACGGAGCCCTTCTGAGAGCCGAGGGTGCCCAGGATCCTGCTGGAGAGAGAGAGAGGCGGGCGTGAGCGTTCTGGTTCGAGTGGCACCGTGTGTGGGATTCTCCTCGGGAAGGTGTTGTGGGCAAGGTAAAAGTGTGTAAGTGTGTGTGTGTGTAAGTGTGTAAGTGTGTGTGTGTAAGTATGTAAGTGTGTAAGTGTGTAAATGTGCAAGTGTGTAAGTGTGTAAGTGCGTAAGTATCTACGTGCGTGTCAAGGTATTGCTATAGGGCACTTTACCCATGACGCCGGGATAACCTATAAATATCTATCACTGTGATTTTTGCTTAGAATTTTTTTGTTTTCTCATAGATGGCTCCACAAAAACTTAGCCAAGAAGGACTTAATTCACTAGTCTTATCAATCTCACCTATTTAGATTCTTTTAATAAGCTTTAATTGATATCAGAATTCAAATAATCACAATCTCAGTAAGGACAATAACACTATCGATACTTATAGCATTAAATTAAAAAATCTAAAAAAATCAAGGAATAGTGAAATCAGGTGCGGTTACCTACGGCCTTGGTGACTGATTACTTGTGGAGCCATCTATGTGCAAGCAAAGTACACACAATAAAACTGGACAGTACATGTACACGGCTGAATCAAAGCAGTTTCTTGATAAATCCGGTATGAAATAAACGCATTTTAATTTGGTAAGATACACTCACATATATCAGTTAATCTATCTAACTATTTGTCTATCTATATATCTGTGTCTATCTATTTATGTATCCATCCATTCATTCATTCATTCATTCATTCATTCATTCATTCATTCGTCCATCCATCCATCCATCCACCCACCCACCCACCCACCCACTCATCCACCCACCCACCCACCCACCCACCCACCCATCCATCCATCAATCCATCTATCCTCCTCAATAACAATTATAACAGTATGTATATCCACACAGACGAAAAGGTTTCCAAACGCCATAGCGACCAGAATTCATACGAGAAAGATTTTTTTTTTTTGGGGGGAAGGGGGGTAGGGGGAGAGGATTTTCAATATACATATTCATTCACATAAGGAATAGAGTTCCACACTATCGAAAACCAATAGCACGTATCTTCTCTTCCGGTTCCGTCGGTTAACGAACACATAAACGTAGATATGAAAGGGAAGCTAAAGCCATAGACATACACGGATGCAGACGTAGGAATAAATAAAGGCATTTAAACGAAGACAGAGAAATAAAGGCATTGATACAACTGCATGTGCTTGTATTTCCTTTGTACGTACACGTAAGCAAAACACAAACGCATGAACAGGCACCCATAAAAACGGACATGAACACGCACATGAAACATATGGACACACGCAGAGAGAGAGAGAGAGAGAGAGAGAGAGAGAGAGAGAGAGAGAGAGAGAGAGAGAGAGAGAGAGAGAGAGAGAGAGAGAGAGAGAGAGTCAGATATATATGTACATATATATATATATATATATATATATATATATATATATATATAGAGAGAGAGAGAGAGAGAGAGAGAGAGAGAGAGAGAGAGAGAGAGAGAGAGAGAGAAGAGAAGAGAGAGAGAGAGAGAGAGAGAGAGAGAGAGAGAGAGAGAGAGAGAGAGAGAGAGAGAGAGAGAGAGAGAGAGAGAGAGAGAGAGAGAGAGAGAGAGAGAGAGAGAGAGAGAGAGAGAGAGAGAGAGAGAGAGAGAGAGAGAGAGAGAGAGAGAGAGAGAGAGAGAGAGAGAGAGAAATCAAGAGTCATATAAGGAACTAAACAAAGAGCTGACAGGACGCTACATGTTAGCTTAACGAGAAACGGAGAAGGTGTAGAGGAGGGGGCGGGGGGCAGGAGGAGAGGAGGAAGGAGGAAGGAGGAAGGAATAGAAGGAAGAAAAAAAGGTAAATAATGATGATAATGATGAGATGATGATAATGATAATGATGATCTGCCTATAGATAATGAAAAAGGAAAGGGATAGGGAAAGGAGAAAGGGAGAGGGAAGGGGAAAGGGGGAGAGGATAAGAGGCAGAGAGCCCCAGGTCGAATTAATTTCAGTGAAAGGGGGGGGAGCTGAAACTTACGCGAGTTAGCAGGAAGTTTGTGAATGAATTTATAGGCGAAGGGAGAGTTTCACAATGGCTCCCTACCTCCCTTCATTCCCTCCCCCCCCCCCCCCCTCCGCCCCCCACCCCCACTTCCGAAGATCCCATGATAAGGCGACGCGAAGACGATACTGAGCGTCTTAGAGGAGAGCTTGAGTAGAGCTTTGTGCTTCTCTCCACCGGGGCCTTCCAGACGCTGCGAGTCTGTCCGAACGCCGGTTTGTTTCGGATCGTCAACGTTCTCCCTCTCTCGTACATACGTTCTTGGTCTCGTTCTCGTTATCTCGTTATTATTTAAGTTCCTATCTGTCTATCTAATTTTCTGTTCATCTAACTTATTTCATATCTATTATCTATCTAATTTCATATCTATTATCTATCTAATTTCATATCTATTATCATCTAATTACCTATCTATCTATCGAATTACGGTCTCGTTCTCGTTATCTCTCTCTCAATTGCCTATCTAATTATCTGTATTTAAGTTCCTATCTGTCTGTCTGATTATCTGTATTTAAGTTCCTATCTGTCTATTTAATTATCTGTATTTAAGTTCCTACCTGTCTATCTAATTTCCTGTTCATCTATCTTATTTCATATCTATTATCTATCTAATTACCCATCTATCAATCTAATCACCTGTCTATCTATCGAATTACCTACCTATCTATCCGTCTATCTATATATCTATCAATCAACCAATCAGTCAGTCAGTCAATCAGTTTATCAATCTATCTATACAGCTATCTATCTTTTTTATCCCTATTTCTCTTTATATATATGTGTGTGTGTGTGTGTGTGTGTGTGTGTGTGTGTGTGTGTGTGTGTGTGTGTGTGTGTGTGTGTGTGTGTGTGTGTGTGTGTGTTTGTGTGTGTGTGTGTGTGTGTGTGTGTGTGTGTGTGTGTGTGTGTGTGTGTGTGTGTGTGTGTGTGTGTGTGTGTGTGTGCGTATGTGCGCGTGCGTATCCCTATGTGTTTTTGAGGTAGCATCTGGCTCTGCATATCGATGATGCTTAATGAAGTAGCCTGGGAGGAGGGGGCGGAGGGGGGGGGGGGTGAAGGGAGGAGGGGGAGGAGAGGGGAAGGGGCAGGGAGAAGAGGGGGAATGAGGGGAGAGGAGAAGAGGGGGAGGGGGAGGGGAGAATAGGAGGAGAGAAAGGGAGGAGAAGAGGGAGGAGGGGGAAGGAGGGGAGAGGAGGAGAAGAGAGAGATGGGGATGGGGAGAAGAGGGAGAGGGGAGAAGAGGAGGAAAGGTGGAGGGGGAGGGGAGAAGGTGAGATGAGGGGGAGGGGGGGGTAGAAATGTCCTCCTCGCGTCACCCACAAGGGAGGGCGCGCCGAGACAAAGCCCTGAGCCCGAATCACCCTTAAGAAGGCGTAATAGGGCGATAGGGTGATAAGGGAAGCAGAAGGGTTAATTACCTGATGAATGAGACCTACGGAATGTTAATTACCGCTTCGCTATTGGGCTGCCGATCAATTAGGTGGCATTCCCGATATCAGGATGTTGCTCACGACGTGCAGACGCATTAGTGGTTGAGCCGGGGTGGGGGGTGGGGGGGATGGGGTGGGGGTTGAGAGTGAGGGGTGGATGGGGGGAATGGAGGAGGTGAATTGGGGGGGGGGGTAGGGGTGGTGTTAAGAATGAGAGTGGTTGAGAGGTTGGGGGGGGGGGATGGCAAGTAGGTGGGGGTACGGTAGGGGGGGGGGGAGGGATGCATGAGGGGAGTAAGCGTGGGGAAGGAGAAATGGGGTGGGGGTGGGGGTAAGGCATAGGGGAGATGAATGAGGGAAGCAGAGATGGGGAACGAGAAACAAGGGATGAGGAGGGGAAAAGACTGCAACGTGCAATCCATTGCAGAGTGAAACGAAGACTTGTCCTATCAACTCGCAAAAGCTTACGGAAACAGATAAAAGAAACATCCAAATACCAACGAAGACACAAATACATGTACAACAACAACAACAAAAATGCAAGAATGAAAATGAAAGATTCGCGCAAGACAAGAGATCTAAATGATGCAGTATAATGATAACGTAATATCGAAAACCTATGTTTACCTTTCACGCTTTGTGAAGTTAACCGTTCCCATTCATTCATAACTTTTGAATTTCTTTTGCCTCAATGAACTTACAGATTCATTTAGATTCTTATCACTCACTTACTCGGGCATCATTCTTGCAGACACGGAAGAAAGACAGAAGATGGAAAGGAAGGAGATAGAAAGTGAGAGAGAGAGCGAGAAAGAGACAGGAGGGAGAGAGGAAGGGAGGAAGGAAGGAAGGGAGGGAGGGAGGGAGGGAGGGAGGGAGGGAGGCAGGGAGGGAGGGAAGGAGGGAGGGAGACAGACAGAGAGATAGGGAGGGAGGGAGACAGACAGAGAGATAGGGAGGGAGGGAGAGGGAGAGGGAGAGGGAGAGGGAGAGAGAGAGAGAGAGAGAGAGAGAGAGAGAGAGAGAGAGAGAGAGAGAGAGAGAGAGAGAGAGAGAGAGAGAGAGAGAGAGAGAGAGAGAAAGATAGATTGAGGAGGAAGTGGGGGACTAGGACACAAACGGAAAGAGACAAATAAAAAGAGAAAAGAACATAGACAAAGATAAAATACAGACGCAAACACACAGACAGACAGACAAACACAGAGACCCAGAGGAGAAGAGAGACCTAACCCTCCCCCCCCCTTCCTTCCTTAAACCCACCCAGACGCGCCCACTACCCAGGTGCCTTTAATATCAAGCTGATAAATGTTTCCCTCGCAAAGGAGGTTTACAATATGGCGAGCGTGATCCATATTCATATCGCTTTATGAAAGAAGATGAGACGTGGTCGCCACCGGCCCCTACGTCACAGGCTCGCGGGATTAGCATATCCCTGCCGACGCTTCGATTCCGTATCACGTCGTAAATGCAGATCGTGCTCATTTACATACTTATTTTCTCT